GGGGTCATGCTGCGGTAAACGGGAGAGAGGTGCGGGGGCTTTGCACAACCGACAAAATACATTCCACTGAATTTTCCAGAATATTCCGCAGAACAGAGACGGCCGAGCCAATCGCTCGTTCTGCGTGACTGGCTTGTAGGATAGTGCAGCTGATGCACTGCTACTCTGTAGCTGTCAGTGCTGTCACTCACTAAGGAGACTCTCCATCAAACCACCATTTTCCCACTCGCTTAACCGGAACGCCTGTGGTCCATCCAGCAGCATAAGAACAGTTGCTGACTGATAAGGTGCCTCTTCCCTTTTACGGTTTAGAGTTTGGACCAGCGCTGGTTGTATCCCATGTGGTGCCCCAGACAAGCTTCCCCGCCAGTTCCGGCCCCCCCGCCAAACTTCACTTTGTCTCAGACATACATGTGTCTGCCTAGGCCAACTGCCCATCTTGCTCGCATTTTGGAATCCATGTCTCACATTAGGCCCCTTCCCCATGGAACCACAGCTGTAGAATCTTTCCGGAATTTTCCTGCGTCTTCTCCAAAGTCCAGTTTCCGGCTAGTGGACTTTATCTCGGAGTGATGTGGGCCACCAAAGACAACCAGATTCGGAAGGGTGTGTAAAACGGTAGAGACTGAGGGCCAGTGCTAACATCACATGCCCTCTAGTGGTCGGAGGACTTTCGAAACTGTGAAATGAATGATACTAAATTATAAATGAATAATTTTATTCATACTCGTGTCATTTTCATACTAGTGAAAATAAACCACACTTTATTTTTTTGTTGCGTTGGAATGGTAACAGAAGCACCACTACCCCCCAGTCATGGGACCCCCCGTGTCATCGCCCTGGCATCTCCCAGAAAGGCTCCCTGCTCCCTGACCGCAATCAGACCGCGTCCTTCACAGCAATAACACGGCTTCACGAGTCAAGCCTCTTAAACGCTGACTGACAGCTCACTCCTGACACAAGCAGGCACACCTGGTTTGACCAAATAAAGACGGTATTTTAGTTTTTAAAATAACATAAAAGGGTTCCAGTCTTTTCTTGGGCTAATGTCTCTGGTCTTCAGCTAAAGTGCAAAGGATTTACTTATGTGCCATTCAGTCGATTTCCACTTCTTAAACCACGTTTTTTTTTTTCCGTGCCATACCTGAATCGACAGGATCCATTGTGCCCCTTCGTTTATGCCCGGGGTCTTTGCTGGGACATTGTGGCACATTCATCTTGAGCAGAGGCAGTCTGTAAGAAACACTCCACTTTCTTTAAGGCTCCCCATCAGGAGGCACCCGCTGTGGAGGACGGGGCCTAAATTTAACTGCGTAACGCTTCAGTTTTCCTGGCAGGCACTCAAGCAGACACCTATGCTTTGGAAATGGATGCAGGCACGTAGAACATAACAGCTGTGCCCAGATTCAGGGACTGCATCCTTCGAGGGCCTTTGTAGGCCGCATCCTTCAAAGGTTTGTGCAATGAATCTTGGGGTCTCGGCAAAAGAATGACGCACTTCTAGGGTGCATTGGAAAGAGCCTTCAGAATGGGACGGCCTTGTCGCACTGCTGTGACACGTTCACTCTTCGGATGCAGCCTTTGAAGGATTCAGCCCCTGATTTCGGACACAGCCAGAGTTTGCTCTTAACCGCGACCGTGCAAGCCACCTGTGTGATGGTACTTTGACATTTGTCAGGCATTCCCAATCTGGGAGTTAATGGTAGCATCTTAGAATGAGCCAGTAACTTGAGGTGGGTCTGGACCAGAATATTGACAGTCCACCCCGAACAGGATAGACAGACAGAGGATGGGGCAGAGCATGCGGTGTGTTCTTCCTCAAGGGGTGAAAAGTTTGCCCCCCCATTAAATTGTAACGAAAAGCGGAACCCAAACAATTTCTGGTATCGTCTTGACTTGGAGAGCTATCCCAGAATCCCTGGAGGATCTGCGAATGTGGTGTTGCCATGACGACCGGCTACCTCTGCTTAAATTGGAGTGTGAGTGATAGAGAGGTGGAGAGACCCAGAGAAGGAATGATCAAAGCGGAGCCGGGGAGGCAAGCTTGTGTTGGAGAAGAGCTGTCATCTTAAAGCAATCAGCGGAATCACGCGAACGCCACCGGCCCCGTCTCCCGTCGCTCCATGACAACACGCTTCAGCAAATATTTCTCCTGCTTTTGGACCACAAGCAAAATTCTTTTGGCTTGACAAAGTGCCAACATTAAGGAAAGGGAAAGGAGACCGGAGGACAGTGGAATGGAGATCCGGCCAGCACTGCTCTCCTCGTGTGAGGCGTGGTTCACACTCATGCGGTTTCGGTCGGCACCTACAGGGATGCTGGGTATGAATAATGCTAAACCTCAATGGTGTCTTTAGCATGGTGCCTGTAGGGACTCTGGCTGCATTGCTGAGGTTGTTTATGTCCCAGTAGGACATCGTGAACCCCAAGGAGGCGGGGCTTGTGTGTGACCCTGTGATAGGCTCACACATACCCTTGAGGATTTCTGATGCTCCTTTCTATATAGGTTTAAAAATCTGTCAGCCATATATACAGGCGTGGTGACTAGGGTCTGTATGGCAAGTTGGATTTTTGGGTTAACAAGATAACTTGTTGGATTTAAGGTGGTCTGGGCTAAATGTAAATGAACAAAGATAAAGTCCATACAAACTGGGGCACCTTAAATCCGATAAGTTATCTGGCTAAAGAAAAAATTGGGCTTTGTGGTAGAGTCCCGAAGCAGGTAATCAGCTAGCAGATAATGATGGAGGTAAATAACTACTTAAATGGCCATCGGTCATCAAGAAAAAACAATGGGGGACAGGGGGCGATGCATGGCTCACTGGGTTAGCATGCAGTGCCTGAAATCAGAAGGTCATCAGTTCAAATCCCTGGGTCAGCAAAGTAATTTCACCAGTGGGCCCTTGAGCAAGGCCCTTACTGCAACATGATCCAATAAAGGTAATGAATATAGATTTTAATGGAATGAACTGATTAATGTACTGAAAGCCCTCCACTCACTGTTATACTCTCAGTGACTAAGTGCTGTATTGTGTTGAAACGTATCAGTGAAGGACACACACAGAATATTAGTGAACATACTGTACGAGTGTAAATACTGGAGCACGGAGAGCTAAATAAACGGCATGTCGTCCCGTGATTTTTTTTTTACGCTTGTGTTTCTGTTTGGCACGCGGCTGAGGTCCGTCCCTCGTGCAGCAGCGGCGTGCGCGCAGTCGTGCGCGCAGTCCTGCGACGCCAGCCTGTGAGGCGGCAGGAGCCGCGCCGTGTTCAGAGGTGCAGACGTTTGCCACGCCTGAATCGTGCAGTGGTGAAGTCCCCCAGCTCCGAATCGCTGTGGCGTGCTCCAATCAGACACGAGACCACATCACGTGACACTTTTGTCAGGGAGAAGGAAACCATACTGCATAACCACCACAGTGCACAAAACAGTGTACTGTATTAACTTTACATACAGTATATATACTGTATTTTTAAAATTTGTTTTGCTGCCCCTAGTGGACAAGAGTGGATACTACATTCACCAGTCTTTTGACAGACCTATGAAGCCTGATTTAGTGGATTTTCTACAGGAAAAAAAAATGCAGAAGGCTTATTAGGTGTAATTTACAATGCTGCTTATCTCCATTGTATTGACATCCCCTTTTTTTCTTCCAGTTACGCCGCCGTGTGTGAGTTTCTACAGAACAATAACTTGCTCTCAGTCATCCGGGCTCACGAAGCACAGGATGCTGGGTAAGTATCTCCGTCTCACTCGTGACGGTGTGCAGCATCCTAAGATATGCCGTAAGATTTCAGCACTGTTTCAGCGACCACTGTTAGGCTATGTGATGTAACTGTGCTGCGTGCAGACCAAAGTGTGCAAAGGATTGTGGGGGATTTGGTGGTCAGAGGTGAAATGCGCCCCCTTTCTGCAGTTACCGGATGTACCGGAAGAGCCAGACCACCGGCTTCCCCTCTCTAATCACCATCTTCTCAGCACCGAACTACCTTGATGTTTACAATAACAAAGGTTAGTCTCTTCTTCACGGGGCACACCCCTCCATCACCCCCCTCCCCCCTCCCCGGGTGGCTGGCGATGGTCCCTCTCTCGTTGTCCCCGCCAACCGAGACACGGGGAGCCTGATTCCAGAGAGGCGGAGGGACCCACTGTCGTCATGGCAACGGCCTGGGCGTGCGTCTCTGGGGAGCGTCTGTAAACGGCGCGGGAGCGGCTGCGTGCGAGAAGCAGAAGGATGGGAATGTAGGGTAAAACGGCGGGGGGGCGGGGGGGGGCACAGCGGCTGTTAAACGCCCCCCCCCGCGACGGGGCATTACGTAAACACTCCAAAGCCGTTAAGTTCACACACTCTGCATCGATGCGAGTGTATTACTTAGAAATAAATAAGTGATTATATCAGTATCCAGTTATCTGGTAATTAATGTGGTTTTTTTTTTATGGGGGGTGAGTCATTTGCCAGGGAGAGGTGTGCCCCCCCCCCAGTCTGTGCTGATGCATGCTGTGTGGGTGACTCATTATCATTCTCTTAGGCTCTTCCGATGACACTCCAGTTGTCCAGGGAGACACGGTCGTGCCGCCACCCCCGCACCCACTGTGTGTGTGTTAAGGGTGGGGCCACCAGGACATTATTCCAAACTGTGACCTGCAGGATTTCCACCATGCGTCTCGTGCCCCCTGGAGTTTTGGGATGGTCACTCATTTCCCTTATTTATCCCTCCTTCAGTCGTTCACCACTCAGTCGTCTTTAAGGGCCCCCCAGCTGCGTACGCTTCTGCAGCCCACTTCTGTGGTCCCCCTCGCACCCCACTCCGAGACCCCCAGTCGTTTTCGTGAATTACTTATTTTCTGCAACCGACAAACCTGATTGGGCGACGTGAATCACCAGCGGTTGGCTGAAACAGATGGTTTGCTGGTCTAACAGAACAAACATCCGTGAGAGCTGGGGGTCCGCTGGGCCTCCGGCCTGGCTGATCCGCTGTCAGGGCTGATCACCTCCACTGTGCGTGTCAGTCAGAGATGGAAAGGCGTGTAACCGTGCAAAGGTTATTCTGTCTGATGAAGTCACTTATTGTCATTGTAGAATCATCCTGAAAAAAACTGCTTCAAAACAGCTGGGGAATCCAGCAAGACATGTGCGACTGAGGATCTGTCAGGGGGCAGACTACCCAGGCCAGGCAATGTGTTGTGGTAGTAGGCCCCCTATTGGACGGATGTCTTTATTACAGGCCTCCAAACTTCTTTCTTTTTTTTAAAGGAAAAGTTTTCTTGAAGTTTTTTTTGTACTTTGAGTATGACTCAGTGTTTGTAACAGCTGGTTGGTAACATCTGGGAACATTGGGAGGGTTGTGGGTTTGAATCCACATATCAGCACCTGCCCCTTAAGCACGGCCATTAACCCCCGCAGCTCCAGGCGAGCTGGACATTGGCTGACTTTCACCCCCGGGGATGAATCAGGTACCTACTGCAGCGTGGGCTGCGGAATGTCTCAGGTATCCACCTGGCCATGTTTCCCATGTCCTCCTAGAAGTCTTCAGCCAATCAATACAAAAAATGACAATATATACAAATTATCACAAGGGCGGCATGGCTTATGGTAAATTTTGCCAACCGGGGGGAGTTCCCTTTGCTAAATTTAGCATTACCGAAAACAGGCTCATAGAACTGAAAAAGGGGGGCCCATTCAATCATTAGGGCAAAGATGTTCAGGCACCCCCCCACCCCCCCAGGCCCCAAACATGAGGGCCTGAAAAACAGTTAAGATGTCATACCAAAATATCTGATTGTTCACGCGAGTCAAGCCTGGTCCCAGTCCTGAATCTACGTGGTGAATGTCATACACAGGTGATTAGGAGTCGATGCTTATGCCATTCGGGTTCATGCTGTGACATGATGCTGATCCCCCCCCCCCCCCCAGCTGCTGTCCTGAAATACGAGAACAACGTCATGAACATCCGGCAGTTTAACTGCTCCCCCCACCCCTACTGGCTGCCAAACTTCATGGACGTTTTCACCTGGTCGCTTCCCTTCGTCGGCGAGAAAGGTTTGGCCTTGTTATCTATTTGGAACGAATTAGCTTTGTCCTATCTGCAGAGCCTGCTTTAATGAATGGACTGCATGTTGAGCCAATCAGAAATCACTCCTTTCTTTTTATGTGGACAGGAGCACTTTCAAAATGAATTTGTAAAGTAAGACGATGCCAGCCAAGGTTAACAAGATTACGAAAGAGTGGTATATTAGTTCATTCATTTGTTCAAGTGAGCAGGTAAAAGTCTCATGGCGCCCTCACATGGCAGAAGGAGGGCAAGTCAGTGTTCCTTCTCCTGACTGCCTTTGTGCTCTGACTTCTCAGTCACGGAGATGCTGGTCAACGTGCTGAGCATCTGCTCCGATGATGAGCTCATGAACGACGGCGATGAAATCTTCGACGGTAAAAATTTTTTTCAATGTTGACTCTGAATGGGACAAGCAGGTTCAGAAAATCAATATATAAGTGTTATTACATTTTATTATGAATTTCAAATTTTGATACTTATATTTGAGAATTGTGCTGGTTACTTGAATGCTCACCTGTTCGGCATAAAGAATATTCCCTGAAAATCCTCAGCAAGTGTTTCTCCCTGAATTGCTGACTTGGGAAACGGCCGGCCTGCCCTCATGTCCCTGCTGACTCGGGACACGCCCGGCCTGCCCTCATGTCTCTGCTGACTCGGGACACGCTCAGCCTGCCCTCATGTCTCTGCTGACTCGGGACACGCTCGGCCTGCCCTCATGTCCCTGCTGACTTGGGACACGCCCGGCCTGTCCTCATGTCTCTGCTGACTCGGGACACGCCCGGCCTGTCCTCATGTCTCTGCTGACTCGGGACACGCTCGGCCTGCCCTCATGTCCCTGCTGACTCGGGACACGCCCGGCCTGTCCTCATGTCTCTGCTGACTCGGGACACGCCCGGCCTGTCCTCATGTCCCTGGTGACTCGGGACACGCCCGGCCTGTCCTCATGTCCCTGCTGACTCGGGACACGCCCGGCCTGCCCTCATGTCCCTGCTGACTCGGGACACGCCCGGCCTGCCCTCATGTCCCTGCTGACTCGGGACACGCCCTGCCTGCCCTCATGTCCCTGCTGACTCGGGGCACGCCCGGCCTGTCCTCATGTCCCTGCTGACTCGGGACACGCCCGGCCTGTCCTCATGTCCCTGCTGACTCGGGACACGCCCGGCCTGCCCTCATATCCGCTCTGCTCACTTCCTCTCTTGGTCTCTGTGCAGCCAACGCCGCTGCTGCGAGGAAGGAGGTGATCAGGAACAAGATCCGAGCGATCGGGAAGATGGCCAAGATGTTCTCTGTGCTGAGGTGAGCGTCCACCGTCCTCCCGGTGAGCAGAGGTCACTGTGATGCCACCTTCACTGCTGACTCAGTCCCCGCTATCAGGGATTCGGAATTACCAAACTGTGATGTACTAGGCTTGGGCCTTGAAATATCAGGTGTTAGGAGACTTTTTAATGAACAACCCTACATTTTCAGTTATTTTTTGAGTTATGGTCATATAATGATGTCTATGAAGAAAAAGTTATCTTAATAATATTCATTAGTACTATTCATTAAGGGGTGGCATGGTGGTGCAGTGGTTAACACTGTTGCCTCACACCTCTGGGACCAGGGTTCGAGTATCTGCCATGTTTCCATGTGTGTGGAGTTCTGCCAGTGTCGTTGTGAGGTTTCCTCCAGGTACTCCAGTTTCCCCCCACAGTCCAAAAACATTCTGAGGTTAATAGGGGTTGTCAGATTGCCGATAGGTGTGTGTGTGTGTGTGTGTTCCCTGCGATGAGTTGGCGCCCCAATTCCCTGCTCATAGGCTCCAGACCCCCCCCCCCCCCCCATGACCCTGAATGGGATAAACTGTTGCAGAAGATGGATGAGTATTCATTAAGGATCAGATAAAAACTGCAAAAAAATCAAATGGCTAATGACTGTTAAATTCTGATAAATGAAGTTATCCTGCATCCTCAGGAAAATACTCCACACCCTCCCACTTTTGCTCACTGTGCCTTAACAAGGCCAGTGGCCCAATCAGGATCAGCTGGGTTTCATTAACCGAGGCCTTATTGGCTGAGGGATGTCAGTGGGTCTCCAAAGAAACGCAACCTCTGAGTTTAGCCCCGCCCCCTTCACTTTCCCTGCTGCCTCCCAGTGACCAAAACAAAGAAGCTCACTACAGAGGGCCTTTACACCTGCTTTAATGCTTCTCTGTGCCCCCCCCCCCCCCAGAGAGGAGAGTGAGAACGTCCTGACTCTGAAGGGCTTGACACCCACCGGCATGCTCCCCAGCGGGGTTCTCTCCGGGGGCAAACAGACACTGCAGAGCGGTAAGCATTCGGTTCCCACATCCAGCCTCTACCTCTGTGTGCAGTTCCACCGTGTACCAGAAGGGCGGCGCTCCCCTGGCTCTGGGCGGGTTGCGTTTGGTTTGACGGCACTTGCCGGGAATATCGGCTCGATACTCACAGGCCTGGTTGTGTGTGTGTAGCTTGGCTGTGCATGGCTTTGAAGTAACTCCACCCCCCCCCCTCTTTATGCTCCTCAGCTACGATCGAGGCCATTGAAGCCATCGAGACTGAACAAGAGGACGGAGAAGGTAAACGTTCGTATGACTCAGGGAGAAAAGCCCCGGCGTACCGATTTATCTCACCAGAGGGGGGCGATGCCTTTAGGTCTCCTGTGCGAATATGCCGGTTTGCACGCCAGGTTGACAATCTACGCTTGACTTTGCTCCGCTGTCTCGGACTGGACTGAACGAGCCCCAAGGTGCTCAGGCGAGGGTGTGAGATGATAAGCCAGCACCTCGCCAGCATCACCGGGGAGCGTCTTTTGGTGCTGAGCTGAACCGTATAAAACCAGCACAGCCACAGAATCCAGCGACTGATTAATGTGGGGAAACAGACAAATTTACCAAAATCAAGAAACAAAATTTTTTTCAACAGAATTAAGACATAATGGTTTCCTGTTCTGAAAGTAATCCACTAGCGCCCCCTGTTGTTCAGGGTGTGCTGTACTCCTTTTGGACACTTTTTTCACCACACAATACTGCTGTGGTCTCGAGTCTCGTTTGATATTTGAAACAGTGACATGAGTAAGACGTTCACTTATGGCATATCGACACTGACAGGTACATACAACATACGTGTGAAAGCAAGCGCAACGTGAAACGTGAATATCTGCTCACGGATGAGCTCATGGGCCTCTGGGATATTGTATGTTTGTTTGGTTATTAATGTCAGCTTTACACTGAGGTGTAGCTGGTAGCAGTGTTGACTGTCACCGGCGTGCCTGGAGTTCTCCCCATACCATGTGACTTTCCTCTGGGGGGGGGGGATTCTATCTGAGCCTAAACACATGAAATTAGGCTAATCTGTGTCTCCTCACTGCTCATCGTGTGTGTGAGGGTATGCATGTGTGTGTCTGTCTGTGTGTGAGTGTCTGTCTGTGTCGGCCTGTCCGTGTATCTGTGTCTGTCTGTGTGTGTGAGGGTATGCATGTGTGTGTCTGTCTGTGTCGGCCTGTCTGTGTGTGTGAGGGTATGCATGTGTGTGTCTGTCTGTGTCGGCCTGTCCGTGTATCTGTGTCTGTCTGTGTCTGTGTGTCTGTCTGTCTGTGTGTGTGTGTGTGTGTCTCTGTCTGTGTGTGTGTGTCTGTCTGTGTCGGCCTGTCTGTGTGTCTCTGTCTGTCTGTCTGTGTATCTGTGTCTGTCTGTGTCTGTCTGTGTGTGTGTGTCTGTGTGTGTCGGCCTGTCTGTGTGTCTCTGTCTGTCTGTCTGTGTATCTGTGTCTGTCTGTGTCTGTGTGTCTGTGTGTGTCGGCCTGTCTGTG